CACTAACAGACACACACACACACACACACACACACATACACGCACCAAGACACATACAACGCACCAAGACACATACACGCACGCTCATACATACATACACACACACACACACGAATGTACACACACTTGTAAACACACTTGCATGTATTTACCTCTTGACATACTCGTATATCATAACAGAAGAAAACAAAACACAAGTTCTGGGAGGAAAACTCACGTCTGTGTATGCAACGTGGTAGGGATTCCAGCTCAAGAGAGGGGTCATATAAACGATTTCAAGGGGTATGGCGTAGGATACTCTGTGGAACAGGCGGTGCAAAAAACGGTACTGTTACATTGATGGAAAACGAATGAATAAATGGTGAATGGGTGAGAGATTATTGAGAGAATGAATGATTGAATCATGAGTCACGGACTTGAACAAAGATGAACAGAAACAGGATTTAAAACCAGAATGACTGAATGAAAGGCGTGTGAACGAGCGATGAAATAAAAGAAGAAAGAATGATCTGTAAAAGGTGAGCTAAGAATGATAAGCGAATGAATGAAGGACTGATTGACAATAAATCAACAAAAGATTATATTATTTGGATTACTGGGCGAAAATGCACCAATAAAATAATGGAAGCTAAAGAAAGCAACAATGGAAAAATATCCTTATTACATACGTTAAATTCACCTTTAATACGGAAAATATAATGTAGATCTACATCTTAAGTCAATACAGAGGAACGAGAAACGTGTAAACAGTAAAAGGCCGAAAGGTCCCCTTTAACGTAAAGAAATTATGGGCTCTGGGATTGAAGAAGGAGGTCCAAGGAAGGGCAGGAGGCAGAAGGAAGGAAAGAAGAAAGAAGGAGCGAAGTAAGGAACAAAGACAGAATATTACTGATTATACCCTTCTGAGCTGCAGCCGAGAGGTTAGTAAGCTCAAGTACACAATAATAATAATGTCAGAGACACGGCTTTAAGTTTAAGGTTGTGGCTCTCTCTTAGGCAAGCAATACGACTGGTGGAAAACGAAGCAAACAAGGTGTTTCACTGTGGCAATAAGCAAGGTTGCAATATTTCTTGTGATGTTTTGGCGTTGAAGTAGTACTGTACGCATGTTTAAATTTTCTTGTTTTATAAAAGATCTTTGTGTCTCTTATTGATGGTGTCGATGATGATGATGATGATGACGACGTCGACGACGAAAAGAACAGAGATGATGATGATGATGATGATGATGATGATGATGATGATGATGATGATGATGA